TTTGTACTGTATAATCTGCAGATTCTGACAGAAATCTGCAACTATCCTGTGAAGCACCGCTCCTCTAAAACAGCAATAAGGATCATTATTAGGCCATATGTAAATAACAAAATAACTTTATAACTTAAAGCAAAATTGGGAAACGTAAAGTCTGAAGTCTTTATATGAAGGGCCATCAGTCACACAATGCTGTTTGGTCTGGGTGCAAACAGAGCGCGTTGTGTGTGACGTCTTCTTTTGTGCATGCGGAGCTCTCTGAGGGTTCACACTAGAGCGCGTTTGCTGTCACATTTTATTTGTAGTGTCAAGAAGCAGAGAAAAAAATCGGACTTGATCAAAGAATCGGAATAGAGCACTAAGACCTGCAGAGTGAACGTAGCCATATACTGTATTTCCATGTATTTCACTTCAGCTATTTCCCATTCTTCAAGCTAAATATAATGACATTGGTGGTAATGTAAGACCTTTTAACAGCACTGTATACTAAGAATAATCTTTCTTTAAAAGGCATAACACTGCTCGTTACTGACCTTTCACCATTGATCTCAACATAATCATGGCCGCAACCTTCAGTTTTATTTCCCAGCGAGAACTTATTGAACAGAACCTTCAGAAATTTGTTGTTTGCAACCTGAAAAACAAAGTAAAAAACAAATAAAACAAATGAAACAGGAGTGTAAAACATTTAAAACATGATCAACTAATAAAAATAAGTCCAAAAAATAGATTTTCTGATTTGTGCGTTTAATAAATTTAAAATGAGCAATGATGGAAAAATGTCATTGTCGTCATCATCATCATCTATGGGGTTTATCTTTCTAAATGATAATTATATTGTTTTGCTGAAGACTCGGTTGGTCAGTGTAGGAGAAAAGTTAGTTTGGTTCTAGGTCAGCTAACTGAAAAGTGTCATTTCAGTGGAGGGAATGAAATTCAGTTTGTGTTCAGGTTGGCAGTGAAGCATTTGCACTTGGAGGCAGAATTTAAAGCTGCATACAATCACTAAATGTCCTGCAAATTATTAATTAAACAATAATCAAGCTAAAATGCAAGAGTGCATAGAAAAATAAGTACACTCCTATTAAGAGAGCGAGTACTCGAGTAATTGAGCATCATCCAGAGTGAGCGCCTCTATAAAAACAGGTGTTTTGGCAGTTTGCTGGTCTTTGCTGGTTGTTCAGGTGTCTGTTACCATGAGTCTGCTGGAGTGCGGTTGTGGGAACAAATAGGATGCTGTGCAGAAGCCTCAGTAAAATGAAGGCTCACCTCGATGTTCCACACACATGTGGTGCGAGGAGGGTAGTTGGACGGGAAGAACGGTGAAGAGATGGAGCCTTTCTCGCCGGTCAGCGTGCCACCACAGTCTGAGGGACGCACAGTTCATACTGACATGTTAGATCATCTACAAAGACTTTAGCTGCAGAACTAATAAAGTTTATGCCGAGATAGCATCCTTTAGATCTGACCTTTAACACAATTACTATTATTATTATGTACTGATTGAAAAATGATTACTGTAATCTCTGGGCTGGAAACATTAGGCAGTCTTAAGATTTCTGCTGCTGTTGCGTTTTTTTCCCAACACACATTTAAGTCACACATTTCAAGTCTTTCATGCCCAGTGGAAATATTTCACAAAGAGCTGACAGCTGTTCAGAAGACGTTTGATTTACTTAGTGTAGTCTGAGGAATCGGAGAGTAGTTTGCTCTGAAGCCGGGGAAGTTTTTCTCCTCATCAGTGACCAGCATCAGCAGCATGACGTTTCCAGAGGAGATGAAGGACAGCGGCTGGTGAGGGTATCCACACTGTCTGAGCGGACAAGGGAGAGACAGAAAGAAACCTTTAGTGCTCCTGGGGCCGGGTGCATAACGCATGTGTCGGCACAAAAACGTTTTAATGCCTTTTCCCCAACACAAACTGGTGTTGTACGAGGCATGCCCTCTCCCTCCTCTGCGTATGCCTGACATGTCCCTCTGATTTCCTCATTCCGTATCCTGTCCAATGATGGTCACTCTGAAACAACTAAATATATATCTCCATATCTTTACATTCGTTCCATAGTCTCTGCCAATTTTTTAACCTGAGCCAGTGTTTCAGGGTAAACAATATTCAGGAACCTGGTTACATTAGTCTGAACACCCCTTTGTGCTAAAAATGAGCAGCTATTAAAACACAGAATAAGAATATCAGCCTGTTTTGTCTTGTTTTCTCTGAAGTAACTGACACTTTAAATTCTAGGAAGAGATCGTTCGTCTCACTCTGTCATAGCGCGTTTCTCTATGGGGACGAGCGAGTCGTAGATTTTGATGAAGTCTCGCTGACAGTCGTCCTCCAGGATCAAGTCATCAAAGTCGAGCTGGATTCGGTGTTGCGGGTCTGCCCGAAACTTCCACTGCAGGTAGGCGTTTGAAGGGTACGGAGAGTTTGGAAATCCCGGAGACTCAACGTGCCCAGAGTTTTCGATGTGGATGTCGATGCTTTTCCTCTCTGAAAATATGACGAGAAGAACATGTTTTGGATGAAGTATACCAGTTGTGAAACAAGCACCTTTAATTTTTTTGGAACATTTTAACCAGTCAAACTTTACATAGAGAATTACAGAAAGAAAAAGAAGTTCCCACCATGAAACTGGTTTATACCTGAAAGCTTGGTTTTGGTCAAGCGTGGATCTATAGCTGTGAACACAAAGATAAATGTGTTAGTAAACCACATATCAGTTCCTCATTACTAATTAAAACAACAATAATCATTTTTGCATTTGTGAATAAACTTTACTCGATGTTTTTAACAAAACCTTGGTGGAAGAATTTGGAGCAGATGTAGCGTCAATATTTGAGAACAGACGTATCGTAGCGGGACGTCTTGATGTCTCACTGTCGTCATTGGAAACGAAAGCTTACATCTTAGTTTTGCTGTACAAGCAGCAGTGCTGCAGTTTTTTGATCATTTGTGAATCGCAGTGAGACACAAGTAACCTACTGTCACCAAATGTTATAGTTATGATTATACATATACACCAGGACTCTTACTACATATAACTATATATCCTCCAAGGGTTTATGCAGTTTCACCACTTTAGGAATCTATTCACTCCTCAGTCTTTAACAGTGTCCAGCATCATGTTTGTATGAGACAAAGAAGCTTCTAGAAGATGTTTCCCCATAAGAAAAGATAAGAGCTGAGCTAAAGAATCCATTAACCATTAGAAGAAGAACCATTCATCGTTAAAATGTCTGCATGTAAGTTAAATATACTTTTTAAATTAAGTTAATTAATTAATTTTTTTAAATTAATTAACAAATTTTTCCAAGAGTTGTCAAAGACAGCACAGTGCTCCAGGTTTAAAGGGTCATATCAGAGCGTAGATTTTACTTTTCAGTGCAGGCAGATGAAGAACAGACATATGGAGAACAGCTGGTGGTTAAG